TAATCATTGAAAACTCTTATCCCTTTCATTGTATCTTTTTGGAAATAATTTTCGACTTACAAAAGGAAAATATTGAAACGAGTTCGGAAAAAATAAAGTTGTAGCTTTAAGGAGCATATCTGAAAATTTTTGCAACAAAATGTTAATGAATTAAGCAAATAATCCTTGATTTTTATAAAATAGGGAATTATCACCTGCGTCCTTTAATTTTCAAAACTTTTATAAAGCTAACTAATTCGAATATTTCAAACATAAATAAAAGTGAGAAGTTTAACTATTAACATTTTATGATTTCTTACTCGGTGACCAGTAGTTTTATTTTTCACAAATGCTCTTTTCTGATAACTGCTGAAGTTCTACGTAATAATATTAATTGAAAAATAATGCATGAAAATAAATAAGGCATTTTTCAATTGCTGTTACTTTGATTTATATTATATAACGCCGTATTGTATAAAGTCGTAGCTCTTTTCACTGCGCAAAATATTTCAGTAATGCGTTAGTGCTTTAATATTTAGTACCAGAGGCTGTATCATTCATAACTCTAGTTTCCTGCGAACAGTGAAGAAACCTTAGAAGCTGTTCCGGATTTTCTAAAAAAATACGATTATTTATTTATTTGTTGGTTTTTGGTTAGAAAAGTCAGAGATAGCTTTTTCCATAAGTTTTTTATTTAGTTCACTCACGGTGCTTTTCACCCTGGTCAAAAGTTGCCCGTTGCTTTTTAAACTACTTCCTGATAAGTTATCTACTTCAAATTTTGTATACCTAACTGTTTGCGAATGGCAATAAAACATGGTGAAGCGATGTTTTCCAAATTCGATTTAAATTCTTTAAAAGGAATGTTGAAATGATTTTTCGCACATATTAGCACACATTTAGCAAACAAACTGAAACATTCATAATTTTATTATTTCCACCTTCTGTTAGAACCGAAAAGAAAACATTTTAAATAAAATTTGTATGATATTTTAAACGTAATTTCTTATTTTTCTGGTGAAATTTCGAAAATCATTTGATTGTTTCAGCTTTTTGATGAGCATTAATTTAAAATTTCAACATCTGAAAATTCATCCTTTACAATGTAAATTTCTACAGATTATGAAGAAATTCTTCGTCCTCTTTTAAAAGAAGTATCATAAAAAGATATCATTTGACACTTCTCCAGCTTTTATTTTGAAATAAAACACATACTGAAACAATCGGTTGTTCCAGCATCGCTCGGAAAATATAATTTTAAGGTTCAAAACATTTGACGTGAACCAAATTCTTGAAATTGAAAGATTGATTACTCATTGTTGAAAAATTATTTTTCATTAGAATAATTTCATTAATAACGCACCATTCAGCTTAAAAAGATGAAAATCAGGTAAAATAAAAAACTTTTTTTTATAAAATAAGCTTTTATTTAAAATACATAAAAGAATTAATGAACTAATAGAAGAAAAATAATTTATCATACATTTTCATTGAAATAAAGGATTAAATTATTTTTTTTACAAAATTCTTCTACAACAGTGATGCCAGTTTTGTAGTCTACTTATTGTGAGTTTTTAAAATGTTTTACGACACTGTAGAGATATTAGGTTATTTTTAAAACAAAAACGTGAAATGTGAGCAAGGCCCTCGTCAGGACTTGAATCATCGACCTCTCTATTCCTCGCCGAGCGTGCTAACCATTACACCACGAAGGCATGCTATGAAGACGGGAGAAATACATTATAACATCATGAATAACCCTCGAAATGCGTTATAAAATGGTAACGCTATAAAAAATTCTGAAGATATTTAAAAAAGTTAAAACGTAAATGAAGTTATATTGCAAGAAAAAATAGCATTCTGGAGATTTCAAATGATGAGAATGTGGTGCAAATATCCAATATTTTTATCCGTTTCCTTTGAATAAAAGATTAAGTTTCTTCGGTTTTGAATCTAACCAGACTTATAGCTCTTCAGGGTATTTCAAATTAATTAATTTTTACCTCCTTGTACGAAGTGAAGGAAGTATTGTAATCATGGAAAGTTCCGCCTATCATATTTCTATGAAAATATGAATTTTCACCGCTATCGAATGCAATCTAACGATGTGTTTGCGTGACATCTGTACGTAAGGACAGAATAAACGACTCTTTTACCCCAAACGAATTATAAAATTAATTTAAAATCGATTCAGAAGAAACTTTTTTCGTGGCATTTGTACGTATGTATGTATCTCGCGTAACTCAAATGCGAGTAGCCTCCGAACGTTGAAATTTTGTATATAGGACTATTGTAACATTACGCCTTTAGTTGATCTGCATGCAATCTTTTTAAAATTATCAATAATCTTAAAGTTGTGTGCGGCTAAGACTACTTTTTTTTTTTTTTTTTTTTTGAACCATAGCAGCCGTATTCGTTTACATTTGAAACTTAGCAGAATAGTGAATTAAGTTCGTTTCTGCACTTTCAGTGTCTTTTTGACGAGTAGAACCAAAAGGAAAATTTTAGTTTTGTGCACCGAAAAATCTGCTTCTTGCCTGCTGGCCAAATAGCTTGTTTTTGCGTATAAACTCTAATTTAAATTGTAGAAATTGTTTTTTTAATTGTTTTAAGTGTATTTGGTGTTTTACGTTTTTCTATATCTTTCAAATTTTAATGAAGATATTTTGACGTTTCATGTATTTTTGCTTTGTTGATACCTCTAATAAAATTGGAGGAAATAAGTTTAAATGAAGTCAGCAAAAAATGCACATAATTTAATATTCCATGCAAGTCATGTGGTGTCCGCATCAGATTTCTTTAGTAAGACACCAGAGAAGGAGCATTTCACTTTATTTTCAAGAAAATGACTTTTTACCCTTTATTTTCAAGATAGTAATTTAATGAGATGAATTTAATTCAATTTTCTTACAAAGGTATATATTTAATTAACCGGTTTAAATCACTCATCAGATTTACCAGTAGATAATTGCTTGCGTTTTATTTTACTTCGAAACGTGTATTTGGTTTCCTACGTAACGATACTAGGTGGGCCAAGAAATGTGTACATGCCTTTTTTCCTTTGATTCTAGACATGTACTTCCAAATGGAAAAAATTGAATGAAATTATAAAATTATATAAAATTTTTTATTACGAAAAGAAACTTCTTTACAGATTAATTTTTATTCATACTGTACTTTTATATTTAGTATGAATACAATAACATGTTATTATGTTCTTATAGTGCAGAGGCCTACCAGCGGGCCAGCAGTAAAATCCCTGAGCACTAGTAATTTTGCTCGAAGTTCGAATTCCGCGAACGGACTGGCTGCATGGGCTTTTTTGTGGTTTTCCCCGTGTGTCGAATTTATACGAGCCAGTTTTCACTAGAAAGTCCTTCACGAAGGCATCTTTTCTCTTAGGCGGATAGCCGTCGATGCTCTGACATAACTAAAATAGGTGTCTCTGGCTATTAATGTTACGATGTAAAAAAATAAAAGGCACTGAAAATGAATATTTGGATTACTATCGATAGTTAACGCTCAGATTTTATTTTAAGGTACACTTAACGTTTGTAATAATTTAATTTGCTGTAACGAGTTTCAAAGGTACATAAACGGTAATATTATGTTTAAATTAAATTATTGTTATGAAATTTAATGCATTTTTGGGGGCATGAAAAGGAAAAAAGAAGTTTTAAATAATTTTGCTGAAGTTAGAAAAAAATTGCACTTACATGAAAAAATATTGCAGTCCCTAAGTACACATTTTAAGCCACAGAAGCTTGTAGAGACATTGATTTTTGGAAGTCGGAGAGAAGAAAAATTAGCAGTCGCCTTCGTCAGGAATCGGACCACGGACTTCTGAAATATCGGCTCAGTGTACTGAACACTACACCACGAAGGCAGGCTAGGAAGGCGGGCGAAATACTTTATAAGCTTTTTCAACAATGTTTAAAATAACAGGAAAAAAATTGCGATAAATACAAAATTTTAAAAACTAGTTTGAAATAAAATAATCTAGTTATGTAAATTTGATTTTTAGAAATGCAAATTCAGCATCCATTAAAGTAATTTTGTAAGTTAGTGTAAGGCAACAGAATTAAAAAATTTATCATAAGATCTAAATTTCATTTATTAAAATTTGACTTCTAATATTAAAGCAACTACTTTTACAATTGTGGAAAAATGGTAATAAAGAATTCTTCTGACTTATACTTTTAATCCGTTTTCGCTCATCATTCATTACTTAAAGGAAATTTATTTTTATAAAATGTTTAAAATAAAAGAAGATTTTTATATTTAAAACGTATGGAATAATGAATTATGCAATAATTATACGTGTTTCAAAACTTATTAGCATCAGATGAACTTAAAAAAGCAAGCTTTTTTTGTTTTGTTGTTGAAGGTTAAAATTAATTAATTCTGTTGTTAATATTTATAAGTATTTATCTGTAGTATTAATAAGAAATGAAAAATTGCATAAAGGACTTTTCTTTTTAAATTTTCTCCTATTAAAATGATTTATAATATTCTTGAAACCGCAGAATCTTTTTCTTTGTTCATCTAGAACTCTTTATACATTTTATTTAAATAATTATTTTGCAGCTCGATTATGATATTCAAAATTAATCGATATCATTATACTCAAACTCAATTATTTAACTTAAATTATTAATGAATTGTTGTATTAATGGACTGAGGTGTTAAGGCAACAGGAACTGATGCCATCTATTGATGAAAAATGGAAACAGCTATGAAATAATTACATTAAAAGCTAAGGGTAAACAACGATTGGAATTAGGATTACTAACAAGAACTGAAAAATCTTTATGTGTGTGAAAAGCTTCTGAAAATCTAATTCGGCAATGTTACTTCAATAATTTTAGCTGCTGAAGAATGGAAAATGGGATTTTCTGACCAACAGTGTTGGTCAACAGCAGGTATATGTGCATCCATTTATATGTTTCTATTTTTCATCAGCAGATGGCGCTAGTAACTTGACGTCCTTCTTAATACTGCAGCCTGAGAAAAGGCCACTATTTCGTTACTTGCTCTTCTGTAGCCGAAGGATTAGGTTCTATGTTTAAACCTTAGGCCAGGTAATTTACGAATTTACGTTGATTTTTGTTGCCTTAATATCTCTAATAATCGTTATTCGGAGTATTATTTTAACTCAGATTCTGAATGAATGTTGGTATGTGCTGGTATGTGAGGATCTACCTTTATTGCGATAACTAGTAAGAAGTTACAAAATCTATACCAAATAGCATTGTGACATTTAAGCGCATTATTTTAGAACTGCTATTAGATGTTAGGGCTTATATTTATTTCATACTTCTCTTCTTCAGAACTACAAGCAACAAATAAGCCTGCTATTAGTCTATTTAGGCCAATAACCCTAATATTCCACATAAGTCGTAACGAAAGTAATATCTGTTACTTAACAACATTAGACAAAAAGTTTAATTTATGCAGAAACATTTATCACTTTTCAAATAGATTTACAAAGAAGTATGAGATAAACAAATTATTTATTTTTACATGTAGCTTTAATTCATATTAATAGGTGTACTTAATTCCTAACTAAAGAAATCATATAGTTGCTTGTATTTAATTAATGAAATGTCTGGCTTTGTTTCTTATCCATAAGTTTTTAAATGTTAGGAATTATTTGAAACTGTTAATCTTAACACTGTTTTAGGCTTTCGTCATCAAGAAGTTTTTGACAGTAAAAATGTAAAATTTTCATTTTCGAAAATCTTTACTAATTTAATATAAGCATGTATTAAAAAGTGTTGTTATTAAATTGCAGGAATTAACAGCTCATTTGTAACGTATTTGAAATTTATGGAAAATCTTTAATAGTCTGAGAGTAAAAAAAAATAACGTAATTTGCAAAATTAATCGTATGAATAACTGATCAAATACATTGAACACTATCTGGAGCAAACAGCCAGTAAACAAAATTTAAGCGGTCGGAAAATAATAAGAAAATACATATATTAGGTATAAAAGTCCTGTAACCTATAATATCGCTTAAAAGCTTTTAAGCCAATGTTATGAAATTTATTTTTTCTTCTGTGAAATTTCTACAGTGAGGTGCCACTAAATTAAGGATAGCAAGTTAATAACAAGTTGGGCCTCCTCTAGCCTTGATAATGGCTACCACACGACGAGGCATAGATTCAATTAGCTTGCGGAAACATTTTACGGGAATGGCTTGCCGAACATCGGATAAAGCTCATCGGATAATTCATCATTCAAAAACATCGGATAATTCAGGAAAGGTCGCCAGTGTTCTGTGATGCTGTTTGATACCTTTCTCTAAAACATACAAAAGGCATTCAGTAGGATTTAAGTTAGGGCTTCAAGGTCTCCAATTCATGAACGAGAAATTATAGCAATGAATGCTTATCCAAGCGGAACTGAGACCTGTGAGCAGCCTCCAATCGGAACCTGTGAGAGGTGCAATTATCTAGAATACTCCATTTCTGTTTGAATGACAGGACAAAATGGTTGGAGATGATCGCGCAGCAACTCTACTTACCGAATCATATTGAGCGAGGTTGGTACAAAAAACAAATATTTCAAACCTTCAAGGAGAAAATACCACAGACCATGTTTAAACTGTCATCGCCTAAAGTTTAAACCTGGCATGCAGGATCCATGGCTTCATGAGCTTGACGCCATAGTCTAAGGTTCGCGTCGGTATTAAGTAACTGGAATCGAGACTTATGACTCTATGCAACTCGTTTTCAGTCCTGTCTGTGTCTTTTTTCTGTGTTTGAACATAGAATCCATTCTCTGTGATATCTTGCCTATTCAAGACGTCCAGCTATATAGCATGCATTCAGCAATGATACTCTCGTGGGCTATGGTTCCCGGCGCCCGTATAGTGAAGCGAGCGTTTCACGATGCTTTTATTGACTATGCGACTGGCACCCTGATTCAGCTGGGTGGTAATTTGACTAATGTTTGGCTTCGTTGGCTATGTACAATACGGCTGAGCCGTCTCACGCTACGCTCGTTCAAGGCTAATTGTCCTTTGTAATTTGCCAGATAGCTAGTTTTTCCCCCACCCTGCGTGTATTCTCAGTTTTCCCTTGGACATTTTCGACTTTGACAGGGCCTAGTTCTCTGACGATTTCGGGAACTAAATGGCCTATTCGTCGAATACCTAATATCTGTCCGCGATCAAAAGTGTCTAAATCAGAAGTTTTACCCATACATACGACTGATTAACAACAACCATAGTACTAGCTATATATGCAGTTACCACAACGCTCTCACGTGAGCACAAATACGGAGCAGCTCTACAATATTTTCATAGTCGTCTATCTCTAATTCAATGGCACTTCAGTATATATCCGTTCGTAATTTAGCGGAAACACTAGAAATACACTATACAAAAATGAGAAAGTGATAATAGTCGGCTGCTCTGGCTCTGGGTGACTTGTTAAATTTAATTGTTCTTGTAATCTTTGTGTTTTCTATGCATATTCACATTTTAGATAGATTTTCTTACTGAAAACTGGAAAATAAGGTACATTGCCACTTGCTATGTGCTAATAATTGTTTTATTTTTAATATCTCTTATTTTATCTAACATTTAATTAATAAGCTTGTTCTGTCCTCGAAAACTTATCTTTTATTTTTTTCAAATGTATGTAAATTTATTCATAAATTAATATACTCATACGAGGCATGTTTTTTAAGTATCATTTTGATATAAAAAACACAAGTGCAATTTTTATAAAAAGTTTTATTTTTACAAGAAACCTACTATCTACTTTTCAACATAATTACCATCATTATCAAGGCTCTTCTCATATAGTGCAAACAGTATTTTAATTCCATCCTCCTAGAAATCTGCCGCCTTATTTGCTAACCATTTAAGCACGGCCGTTTTGATGTTGAATACTTCCATTACATGGATTGCTATTTTGATTCCAATATAACATGAGCCAACCAAGTTCATCATGTCGCCTGGGACAATTTGACTCTAAAAACTGATAACCTTTATTACCGATGAAGGAAAATCAAAGCACTGGCTACACGATGGGTTTTGACCAACTCATAAGCATTTTCGCTCCCCAGCTTGAACAATAACTTTGATCACTTAAGCATTCTTCCACAGTTTTATAAGAAACCTCTTCGAGACTTGATGAAACTCATCACATAATGATGAAATCTTAAGCGTCTGTTTGTTCGAACTTTTGCATCAATTTATGTACCAAGTCTTTAGTAATGACAGACGGTTGGCCACTGCGCATCATGAAAAACCCAATTTTTTTACCATTCCAGCGTTTGCAATGTTTTCTGCATACACTTCACTAATCTGTCGATAAATTTCGGTCCCTGTTATGCCTTTTGCGTTCAGTAGACGAATCACATAAATTATTTCACGATAGGAGGGCTTTTCAATTGTATGACACATTTTAAATGCGCAAAAAGAAATACAAACACAAATGAATGCTTTAGTACTGGCATCTGTGACTACCAAGAGGTATTCAGCGCACCTGCGCGGAACAGCGTCTGCAGCGCTATAATGGCCATATTTAAAAATGTTTACTCTCTTAAATCCGCTTTGTACAATTAATTTATTCAAATTATTACAAAAGCAAAATAGGGCATTTAATCCTCTTTATTATAATTCTAAAAATATATTTAAAAAATGAATTGTATTTCAACAATCATCTGAATTTTGTTTCAAATCACGCTTAACCGCTCAGCCTGCAAGGCATTTCTCCCGTCTTCCTAGCGTGCATTCGTGGTGTAGTGGTCAGCACACTGAGCCGGTATTTCAGAGTTCCGCGGTTCGATTCCCGGCGAAGGCGTTGCTAATTTTTCATCTCTCTGGCTTTTCCAATTAACCAAATGTCTCTACAAGCCTAACTATTAAAAGGATATCACCACATTTTCGCTTTACTTAACCTTAAAAATTATTGAGTTGGCTATCATTCAGTGCTCAAAATCTAATAAAATAAAAAATTTTACTAAGATTAGTGCAGAAAACCCTGGACTTTTGCTCTCAGTTTATCTTGAGAAAAATAGATTGAGAAGTAATTATTTCTTTTCCTTTTAATATTTACATGTTTCTGGACAACGATTCGAGCCATCTTACACATCCATCATCCATCTTACACATGCCTCAAACTTCCCGTGTTATGTTTCCATGGTTTTTCTATATTGGTATATTTTACTGATTTCAAGCACTTTTGTAATTTCTCTGTATAACTCTTTCGGAAGAAACTCATTTGTGTTGAGCTGAAGATGTAATTCTTTGGTGACACTGAAACTACTGGAATCTACTTCCTGTCAAAAAAGAGAACACATTTACTGTCTCTTTAATATCATAATTTACTTTATATGACATTTGTTATAACTTGTGAATAAGTCTTTCGAAAATTTTATCTGGATTTTGTGGAAACTTGTCAATCATTCTAGAGGCATTAGAATGAAATAAGTTGACTTCTGGAAGTAATATATATTTTTTCGTTTTTTGAAAAGCGTTATTGTCGTTCTGCTACCGAAGGACAATAAAAGTAAGATAAAGGAGGAGTAAAAGGAGTAAAAGGAAGGAAAGTAAAAACAAGCTAATAAATTTATTTTTACTATTTTGGGATCACGTAATAGTTTCATTGTTTTTATGAAAATTTGATTAACAATGTAGCTTCCACAAACTGTCGCATTCAGCGTTAATGAAGGAGTTAGTAGACCATTAAGCTGCTGCTTAAATTTTGTTTCCTTAAAAAGATCATTCCTTTTGTTTTTTCACTGCTGACCTTGCAAGTTATCAATTTCGAAGAATGTTTGTTGCCAAATTTCCTCTTAATTTCATATTACTTCCAAAGAAATTTTAATGTTTAAAGTGCTACGAAGGTATGCTAAGAAGGCGGGAGAAATACCTTATAATTACGATTGAGGTTATTAAATTCTCATATGATACCGCTCAAGAAGGTTAAAAGACCAACACCTTTGACTTTTAAGTTTACTACGCAGTTTATTGTTTTCTTGCGATTTAACTGTAAAATAAATTTTTTTCGTAAAGGGGGGGGGAATTCAGAAATTTTTCTTTACTTAAGCATGGCTCTGAGTTATGCAAAAAACGCTGCATTAATTACTGTTAATTTCTTCTAACAATTTTTGAACTTTCTGTGGTTAAGATTTCGTGAACAGGTTAAACTCTCTATATTTATTACAGTTTTAATATAAAATTCTACAAGAATAATTTTGAAATTAAAATAACCAAAAATCAAAACTGCCACGGATTGTTACGTAGAAAAAGCAATACAAATTGAACCTTTAAAAAACTGACTTCTTTTGGTGGCGCGACAAAAAAAAAAAAAAAAAAAAAAAAAAAAAAATCTGAAATGTTTCAGATTTTATATTACGTCCAAAGGGGCGTCTTTTAACATTTTGTGTGTTACCTTTCTTTATTAAATATCATGTTCCTCGCACTTAAACCATAAGATCCAGTGCAACAGCAATATCGCAAAATAGTTTTAAAACGAGCATATGTTTAGAATTTCCGATACAGAGACTCACGCGCTGGAGATAAAAATGTTTTTTCTGCACAATGTTGCCATTGCTCGCTTTGAAATCCTTGAGTTTGTTAATCAAAAATTCGTCAAAGTTTTAAAAAATAGGAAATCGATCATAAAAAAAATTTCAAATTTGGTCTTCCACATGCTCATATTCGTTGGAGGTTTACGTTATTCAAAATTCGATGACTCTATGTACCGTTATTTTATGACAATGTGAGAAATATACATACATTTACGCAGATTTTCATTATTTAATTTCTTCAAATATAATGCAGGACTCTAACATTTTATGGCAACAGTTTGAAAAGTGAACCGACATTTATCCGTCCGACGCAAAATGCCAAAACGAAACTAATAGTCCTTCGGGATTCAAATCCCTTTGGACTAAAAAAAAAAAAAAAAAAAAAAAAAAAAAAAAAACTAAGTACTTACATAATCAAAACTTTTAAATCTAGAGAAATCAAAGAAAGATATCCTCCCTGGTGTTTTGGTAGAATCACGATTATTTGTCAAAACCAAAATTGCGAAAATGCATTTCCACAACAAAATCATTAATCTGCTACCTCTCACTAAAATATAACTAATTCAGATCTCTAACCTGAAAACACATAAATTTCAATACAAAATCTAGAGATAGCCTTAAACCCTTAACATTTAAAATACCACATAGATCTCTCCAAAACTCCAGGGAAAGATAAATCTCACAATTAAGAAGTTTGTTCATCAAAATCAAAATAAATTCAGTAAACCGATCGTATAGTCACCAACACTAAACTGATTTTTTTTTCTACTACCGCAATATAATTACCCAGGTTCGAATAAAATAACCATGTTTCCGTAATCTTATAATTCAAGATAGCTGGCCAGACTACCCCTACACAATCTTTTTAAAAGATACTCATAGTTTTTTTACATATCAATCTCATTTTAAACATTCATTAATACAGAAATCATAGTGACACACTTCATAGTTTTTTAATCATTTTAAACAGGAACTCATGAAGTTTAAGCTCATTTATAAAAGCTGATTTAGAATGAATCATATTTCTTCAACTGTGACACATCAGCATGTTCATTTTCGGCCAAATGAAATTACATGAACATAGCACTTAAACATTAAAACAAAGATTCACTCCCTCCAATTAGTTCAATTAACTTCTGACAATTAAACATTAATAAAAAAATTACCTTCTCAGCTAGAAATTTAGTAACAATAAATATTCAATTTTCATCTACTTAAACATGACAGCTATTGCTTTAGTATTAAACATTTCTAAATTTATAAAAATTAATTAACAAAAGAAAAGCACCAATGAAAATATAAAGTCACTCACGAATTCTACGTACACACATGTGAGAGACACAGGGAGCTGTCCGGATCCAGTCACGAAACGTCGAAAACATAACAGACAAGCATCCATCGATGTCCAGAAAACCGATACTGATGTGTGTTCATAGCATAACGGAGAATTTTCTCATAACACCCGCACTACTCGGTCCAGCAGCATTTAACTCCAAAAAATAATAATAATCAGCCTTCCCTTTTATTTCGAAGACCCTCTGAAGATAACGGAAGGAGATTGACAGCAGGAGATGACGACTTTCCTCCTTTTCCATATTTTCCAAAGCAAACTGGAACTTCAGCGCGAGCAATTCAGACAGCTCTTCCACACATGGAAAACGTCAGAGACATGAATAGAACACTGGACCTAGCTCCAGATCTTTTGCCAATTACGCCGAAATTTAACCGCAAGAAGCTCGCGACGAGCTGGGACCGGTCGCCGCAACCAGTGCCTCGGAGATCATCAATTTTAAACGTAACCGCGGTCGCCCCCAAGGGTTCGCCGGGTAACGCTCCTCTCAAAGTCGATCAAACTGGACCAAATCTCACAAAACCCTCGCAAAAATCTTCTCTTCTCCCTTGCAACGGCTTAAAACTCGGTTTACACTCACCAAGACTTCCTCTAGCCAACTAGAAAAAAAGTAATAAATAGCCTCTAAAATTCTCAGAAATTCAGAACTTTCTACAAGATGACAGTTCCTTTCTTTCTCACGCAACAGAAGAATGTTTCCAACCTATAACTCTGTCAAAAAATCGCCGCCCCTTAGAACTATTCACCTCTTAACGAGCAAAACACGTGTTTTCAACCCCTGCGAAAAGAGGAAAATGCAGCTGGGCAGTCTGACCCCTAACCTCCAAAAGAAGCCGACTCGTGAGAAACGGAAATATACTCGCGCCCTTTTAACTGTAACACATATTCTGCCAAACTTAAAGAGCTTTGCCGTAAAGTTTAACAATATTAAATATTATACATTAATTTTTAAATAAGCACAATACAGATTCATTAAACACAGTAAAATAATACGCAATAATTATACACAACAAAAAATACATAAGAATTTTCCATAAATACGCAATAATCATACACAACAAAAAATACATAAGAATTTTCCATAACAAATTATTAATTGCTATTATTTTCAAGCTTAAGTTTTGCTTAATATTTCAGTTTTGATCTGTAATTGAATTTCTAAAATTTTTTTGCTTTAGTTGTTTAAAGTTGGTGTAAGTTTAAACTGTAACTTTTGTAAACTTTAAAATTAAGGTTTGGTTGCTTTAAAAGTTTTCTTAAGTTGAAGTTGTTTAGTTGGTTTGTTGTTTTGTTTAATTTGAGTTTAGGGACTTAAGTTTACTTGGTTTTTGTACTTTTGTTATAACCCCTTATGGTTGTTTAACTTTAATTATTATTTTTAAAGTTTTGTTGCTGCACTTTTAGTGTGTTAATTTTTTTAACTTAATTTTGTTACCCCTCTTTCTATTAAAGTTGTCGAATACATATTTTATGACTGACGGTAAGGTAAATCAATAGTAATTGTAATTCAATCTGGGTTATGAGTATTTATACTTGAAATATGCTATATGTATAAATGCTGCTGAAGAAACAATTTATATAGCGCTGATATTTTTTTAATGAATTATATTGTTATGTAATAGTTTAATTTTTAATGTCCCAAAGTCGTTTGTGTTGACTTGGTTGTGAAAATTTTCACACCCTAACCGTTGGCTTGGAATTCTTTCTCAGAATCCCTTATCAGAGGATTACTGCACCCCGAAATTCTTTCGCCCAAACGAAAAAAACCACATGTCGGATGACGTGTTGGATGTATACACCATCTGAAGTTTCCCTAAAAGAGGACCCCGTTTTGTTGGACAAGCAAGCAGGGAAAGGTTCTACAGCGTATTTTGAGGACGGGGAAATAATCGTTGGGTTGGGTAAAAAGCTCTACATGGTCGAATTGGACCTCGATGCGAGGCTAGATATCCCCCCCCTTGTTTTCGTCTGCGGAGATTGTTGACACATTGGTGTGGCCTAACTGGCTTTTCTGGTAGTCGGGAAACCCCTTCCCGTGAAGATTTCTCTGTTTGGGTTGCAGGACTTGGCTGGTTGCTGTTCACCTTCTACGCGAAATTTTCAAAAAACGCGACAGCTATTAAAGTGGATGCGCGGTGTTTTCGAGAAGGGAGACGAAGAAAGGATTTTCGATGACACTTTTTTTCTGACGAAGGAGGAGACGGAGTGAAGATTTTCGATTACATCCTTTTTTTCTGACAGAGCCAAGGAGACGCAGGAAGAAATTTTCTCGAAGAAAAAGGAACGAGAGATGACTTCTAAGATGCAAAGCGGAGACCAGCCGTCCGGAGTCCCTGGTATGATGAACGATTAAACAACCTACACAGAAGGAAGGCTTACTAAATCAAGAATTCCTGAGTATTTACTGACTTCAGTATGGCCGGTGTTTTGGGGGAGTCCTACCGGTTGGAAGCGGCTGTTGTGTGTGGGGGGGGGAAGCAGGGCCTCCGAAAGAGTTGTCCATTATTAATTTTCATATTGTTTTTTTTTCTTTCTTGCAGATTGCAGATGTATCTTCAGACGTTTAATTATTGTTACCTGCATCGTGACAGTATCTGTCTGAGTTTTTCGCCTGTATCAAGTACCCAAAAGTTTGTATGATGCCCCCCAAACGGCAACGGTGAATTGTTAAATATGTAAAGAAGGTGTGTAAAATTTCAGTTGTTTCTTCAGATATAAGGATGACCAGTCACCACCATTTTAAAATGTAACTGTATTCTTACTATTATCTCCATAAATAAACGTTAGATTGATTTTACCTACCTAGCTTTGTAATTATTTTAAATATTTGACTTTGCTCTGGACCATAGCATTTGAACTGGTTGCTGCCCGACATTATGTCTCACAACGCAACTTCCTGAAATTTAGAATTTTTTATGTTACACTATGATAATTACTCGAACTCTTATGTCATGTGATTGATACAGAATTGGTTGAAAGTTTTTTGTTATGTTACCAATATACATACATTTACCTACCACAAAATTTGGTATGAACGTTGATTATAGAAATTACACAGAAATGATGTTAAGTAGTAAATAATACATTTGAAATTATATTGTTTATGTTTATTGTTTATGTATATTGTTTATGTAACAGGATTGATGTAAGTACACAAACATAATATTTCGATGAAGAGAAAACAAGATTGTTAGATTGTTTCAAAGTTGTGCATATAATAGTTCTATACTTACGATTGCGCATTTAACAGCTGACATTATGTATTACTACCACGAAAATTATATTTCATTAAATTACGAATTCTGTATCCAGATGTGTAAGTTTATTTTTAAGATTATATTCTGTTAATTTTTAAAGGTATCTCTCGATAAAATATTGAGGATAAATATTTTTAAGTGAATGTAAATATTTATAAGACGGCTTAAAATATTTATTTTATAATTTTCGATAAAATGATTATATGAACTGAGACCTACGAGCTAAAGAATAAATTGAAAGAAAATACACATATCTGAAAGTTTATACTTAGAGAAGGTTCTGCTCCAAATAAGAGTCTCGGAAATATTTATAAATGCAGATGAGGATAGATTTATTCAACGATTCATAAAATCTTTTCTGAATAGCTATCCCATTTCAACAATAGCTGCAGAAGTTTGGAAATTTCATGGAAGTTGTATTAATACTAACAAACAGTTTATTGTGTTTGTTTTCATAGATTATGTAACGCTCATTGAAGTTACCGTAACAGGAAAAAAAAAAAAAAAAAAAAATTAGGCACATAAGCACAAGGGTCTAAGCTTTGAGGCTGTCTCTGCCTCAGCACCCCCCCCCCCATATTAGGAAAAAAGGTCTTATGCACCACAACCAAGACTCGGGAGGGCTGGACAGGCAACCTGTTCTAAACCTGTTCTGTTGAGTTACATGGGTATAGAAAGACCTTGAAAGAAATACATTGGAATCCTGTGTTATTACAACTGAAAAGCAAATTATAAGCTTAAAATTTGCATAGCATGAATTATAGGATTATTTTCATCAATTTAATAGAAACATATACTGTGCCAGATATTATAGAAACGTTTTTGCTGAATATATGCAAGTATTAAAAATCAAAAAAATATTTATATACGCATTATAGATTAAATGTTATGTGAGACGGGAATGTAGTTCACAGTAAACAGTTTTAAGTTAGGAGTAATGTGTTATGCGAAAGACCTAAATATTACCAGCATTAACATATATGTATGTATGCAATTATCTTGATAGTTTTTCTAAGCTTTGAGACTAAGAAAACATCCTTTTCGTAAATGTATTTTTATATCTATAATTTGACTCAGAACTTCCCAATTCAAGTATATCACAGAGCAGTTTTATATTTTGTATGCGATAACGAAATTCCTTAAAATTCTTTAGAGCTACTAATACAAAATAAATGTACTGGGGGCAAAATTGCTCCTTGGTGCAAGCTTGTGTGATTGATTTTAATATAAGAGAGAAATTTACCCATAATCAAAATTAAAATTAGTCTAATAATGACCCTTAAATTGCCTTTGGTTAAACCATAACAATACTGAATGAGTTAGCAATGTAAGCAGTTTTTAGTCCAAAGAGGCTTTGTCCCTGAAGGACTATTATTTTCATTTTGCTATTTTCCGTTGAATCACTATAAATGTCCGTTTCAGTTTTCAAACTGTTGCCACCGAATGTTAGAGTCCTGCATTATATTTGAAGAAATTAAATACAGAAAATCTGCATAACTGTATGTATATTTCTCGCATTGTGATAAAACAACGGTACCTAGAGCCATCCAATTTTGAATGACGTAATCCTCCTGAGAATATGGGCATGTAGAAGCCCAAATTTGAAATTTGGAATTTGTTTTATTATCGATTTCATATTTTGTAAACCTTTAACGAATTTTTGATTAACAAACTCAACGATTTGAAAGCGAGCAATGGCAACAATCTACGGTGGGAAAAAACCTTTCTATCTCCAGAGCGCGGAACTGTGTATCGGAAATTCTAATGATAGGCTCATTTTGCGACATTGCTATTGAACTGAAATTTATGGTTTAAGTGCGAAGAACATGTTTTTTAATAAATAAAGGTAACACACAAAACGCTAAAGAAACGCCCGTTTGGACGTAATTTAAAATCTGAAATTTTTCAGATTAAAAAAAAAATTTTTTTTCAGAAATAAAAGCATTCTACTCAGCAAAACAATTTTGATCCAAGGTTAAATTTTTGCTTAAGCTTTTTAGTTCTCTCGTGGTGTTTGTTGCTGTGATTAAAAGTTTAATGTGATTAAAATTTAAAGTGTTTTTGTGAATGACAGTGCAATGAAGCGATGTTTATAAAATTCGATTTAATTTAACGTTTAAACGATTTTTTACATATATCTTCGTTTAATAAACAAACTAAAAATATCGCAAATTTACTGTTTGCACCGTGAGGTACAGAAGAGAAAAATCTTTAAAATTAGTATCAAATTTTTAACATCATTTCTGATATTTGCCGAATGTTCGAAAATCCCTCGATTCCTTCCATTGTTTGATGTGCATGCTTTTAAAAGTTCAATATCTGTAAAGGTTTTTTTTTGAACAAAATTTTGAACTTTTCACAGATTAGAAAACAAATTCTTCATCTTTTAAAACAAGGATCGTAAAAAGCAGTAACTGTGGCAGTCCACGTTTAAAAAAATATGCTACAATGTCAAGCGGAAGGGGAAATTTTGTTTCTTTCTTCGGCAGTGTTGACAAGAGCAGTTTGAGGGTTATGACGTTACTGAATCATCATGAAATTTATCCCGTTATGTTAATTCTTTTCTATTTTATAAATTTATATGCATTTTTCTCAGTATTTCATTTTAAGAGATTTTCTTAATTTTATTGCTGTACGTAACATCATATTATTTTATGGGATTCTGAAATTCCAACATCCAGAAATGTATCTGTTATAAAGATATGAAATTTTCAAATGCTACGAAAGAGACTCTTCACAAGCTTTTAATACAAGATTATTAACAAATATTAACTAAACGACTAGAACTTGTTTTTTACGCTAGCTGCGTTTTTATGAACTTGTGTTTAATTTGATTTTGTCACTATGGTCAAAACATGGCTATCCACTTTTAAATTATTCTGTGATAAACTATGAAGGTCAAATTCTGTACACACACACTGATTGTAAATGGCCAAACAATGTGTTGAAGAGATTTTTTATTTAATATTTTTCTCATATTTTTTCTCATAGATTTTTTTAAATTTAATATTTTTTTCATATATCTTCATTTGATGAACAAGCTAAGACGTCTCAGAACTTTGCTGTTTACACCACTAGACGCAGAGAAAAAGATCTTTTCTCTCAATATGTAAATTTTACTGCATTTTCTGATTTTTTGTAAAATCGCTGAAAATTTTCTATTACTTCACGAGACAGATTTAATGGAATAAAAGAGATACTTTTTTATTTCCTTTTTAACTGAATAATTTGATTGATAACGTATCATTCAGACTAAGAACATGAAAATAAAAAAATGAAAAATATATATATATATAATGAAAGAACAGTGAAAACTAAAAGAAGATCACCGAGGAAGCAGACGATTCTTTTCTACTCTTGCCATGCAAACTATGCTACAAAAAAAGAAGAAAAAATCTGAAAGCTTTCAGATTTTACAATTACACCCAAAGGGGTGCTTTTTTTAAATGTTTTGTGTGCTACCTTTATTTATTAAATGTCATGTTTTTCGCACTTAAACCATAAAATTCAATTCAATAGCAATATCGCATGAGCATATCTCTAGAATTTCCAATATACAGTCTCGCGTGCTAGAGATAAATTTTTTCCCCCGTACAGTATTGCCATTGCTCGCTTTGAAATCTTTCAGTATAAAAAATTCTTTAAAGGGTTAAAAAATATGAAATAGATAATAAAACAAAGTTAAAATTCCAAATTCGGTCTTCCAGATGCCCACATTCAGTGGAAGACTACATTATTCAAAATTTTATGGCTCTAGGTACCGTTATTTTATTACAATATGAGAAGCATACATACATTTATGCAGATTCTTCATTGTTTAGTTTCTTTAAATATAACACAGGGCTCTAATATTTGGTGGCAATAATTTGAAAAGTGAACCGGCATTTATAGTGAACTAACGCAAAATGCCAAAACGAAATTAATAGTCCTTCTGGGAAAATTGTCCCTTTTGACTAAAACGTTTTATAAAATATTTTTTATTTAGAATACATAAAACAATTAATGGAAAATAATTTATTACATAGTTCAATGGAGAAAATATTATATAGATTGATGGAAGTAAGAGATTAAATAAATGTCTTCACAAGATTAGTTACAATTTTTCACAAAATCATTACAGTTTTACAAGTTATGAATTATAAAAGTATAGACGTTTAATTAACGAAATCGAATAATATTGTCAAAAGATAAGCCATTAATTATCTTTATAAACTTATCAAGGACGTCTCACGCATTTACTATTCATGATATATAAAACTGCAGATGAATTTTGTAAAGAATCTCATTTTTATTAAACTATACTAAAAATCGTTTTTCTAGTTTTAGTTCATTAATTTTTGTGAATTTTAAATAAAAGCTAATTTTATATAAACTTTTTATTTTTCATTTTGTTATGAAGTATTGTTAAATTAAAAGTTATTCTTTCAGAGAGAAGAATGTTTTGTGTCTCTTTCAGTATCAAATATAATCATCGAACACACAAACTTCTCAAGTAGTTGGGGCTAATATTCCATTTTTAAAAAAAGTCATAATTCTGGTA